ACCTACTTAAAAAACAAACAAACAAACAAAAAACAAAGAAAAAAGACTTTTTATTACCAAATGTAATATATATTTATAATACAAAATGTGTTAAATACATACAGCAAAAATAAAGAAGGAAAATAAAAATGATCCCTGTCCTTTCAGCAACAACATTTGGTTCTTAATTTAGTTTGGCATTTCCCAATGCACATATATGCATTTTTTTAAACTTGCCAGAGGGCACATACATTTGCCAGAAAGAGAGAAAGTGAGAACTACCTCCCCACCCCCAGGAGACATGGTCACACTACAATCCCATCTCCTCCATTTCTCCCCCTTTTCAGGACTTTGGGCAGGCATGCACATACACTCAGAGTGTTTTTCAGGTCACCAGGTCCAAGACTTGAACTGTGCTGTTGACCATATGAGATCCAGCCACCTTAATCTCTAGGCTATGGGCTTGCCCTCTTCATGCATTTTTTTTTTTTGTGGGAGAGATTTTTTTTCGCTATAGGGCACGTGCGCTCGCCAGACAGAAAGAGACATAGAGACAGAAAGCGAGAAATCACCCCCCAGGGGGGATGGTCACGCCATGCCGCAATCTGTTCTCCTCCATTCTCCTCTTGGGATCTTCGGCACGCACGCACACACGCCAGGTGTGAGTTTAAGCAACTGGGTCTGAGACTCAAACCGCGGTCATCTACATGGGAGTCCAGTGACATAGCCATTATGCCAACTGCTGGTCCCACTTACCTTCTATCTTTACTGAAATGTATGAACAGTAAAAATACAATTAAAAAAACAATGCTTCTGGGCCAGCAGGTGGCATGGTGGTTAAGGCTCTGGATTTCCACGTGGCTACCGTCCAAGCCCCGGACCCAGTGACTTGAAAATCACACCAGGTGCATGTATGCTCATGTCCAAAATCCCAGGAGGAGAATGAATTACGGGGATAATCACCCCTAGTGAGTGACTTCTCACTTTCCCTCTTTCCATCCCCCTCTCATTCTCTCTCTCCAGTGAACACATAGGCCCTATGCCAAAAATAAATAAATAAATTTACAGCAATGTACACACATCTAAACACTAGCATAGGTAAGCTATTTCTAAATATTCAAATAAAAAATTACCTAAATACCTAAAAAGTTATGATTGGAATTGTTGGGCCTTTGCCGAAATTCTGTTTGATGTTCATAACTCCCAATCCTCCCACATACCTGCCAAAAATAAAGGTTCCAGAAAGGAAGTTCTGTACCAACTCAAACTGCTGTTAACCATTTTCATCTTCAGTACAAATGCACAGCCAATTACAACGAGCTGATGGTTCACCAAGTTCCACAGCAAAACAAAAATTAGACCAAGTGTCAGATTTTGTGTCATCAGCCACAGAATGACAGCCAGAGAAGGGGGGTTATTATTCATTTCACAAAACGCACTTAATGTCATGACCTATACATCCTTTGTGGTCCAGTCACCTTTTTCATGAACTCTGTGAGGTGTGTGCCCACATGTCCCGTGTCCTATACGGGAAAACAACTTTTTTTTCTCACTTTTTCTTTTTCCTTTTTTTTTTCTTGGAGAGGTTTTTGCTATAGAGCGCGTGCGCTTGCCAGAAAGACAGAGAGAGACAGAGAAATAGAAAGCGAGAAATCACCCCCCAGGGAGGATGGCCATGCCTCAATCCCTTCTCCTCCATTCTCCTCTTGGGATCCTGGGCATGCATGCACACATGCCCGGCATGAGTTTAAGCCACCAGATCCAGGCTTTGAACCATGGTTGACTACATGGGAGTTAGCGACATAACCATTATGCTAACTGCTGGTCCCAGGAAAACAACCTTCTTGACCAGCCATATGATGGCTGCATACTTTGAGTTGTCTTGTGGCCTGCCATGGTCTGAATATTTATGTGCTTCCATAATTCATATGTTGAAATACTGTCCCCTAGGGTGATAATAGAAAATGAAGCCTAGGGCCAGCAGGTGGTATAGTGGTTAAGCTGTGGTTGGACGTGGTTCAAGTCCCAGACCTGGCAGCCTGAAACTCATGTTGGGTGTGTGTGCACGTGCACCCAAACTCCCAAGAGGAGAATTGAGGAGAAGGAATTATGACATGGCCAACCCCCAGGGGGAGAGGGTGATTTCTCTCACTTTCTCTGTCTCTCTGGTAATGCATGTGCCCTATAGCAAAAATCTCTAAGAACAACTAAAAAGAAGGTGGGGCCTTCAGGAGGTAATGGATCATAAAGAAAGCACCTATTACAGGCTTTAATGTAGGATAGTTGTGGCATCTGTCACCAGGTTCACTGCCAGAACTGACGGGCTGCTCTGGCATCCTATTCCAGAGTTCCCTTCCTCGGAGAGCGCCATGTGTGTTTCTTCCCAGAGTGTCAGCTTCATCGAGAAGCATGAGGTTTACAAACTGGCAAAGTCTATTCTTAGTCAAGTATATGGGGAGCTGTGCTCCTTGGCTAAAGGTTTCCAATGAGCATGGACATCCCATTGCACACAATGTGGTTAGCCAGATCTATTTTACAAAAGGTCTCTCTCCACCTGGTATTTTGTTGCACTATTAGTCAAGCCAGAGCACCACATGGGCTTCACGCAGAAAGCAAACACATTTGTAAGACTAAACTTACATAAGCCTTGACCTTTATGAAATTCTAGGCATTTCAAAGTCATTAGATTTCCCTTGATATTATAGCAGAGCAGGCACCCTTTATGATTTAACTACAATAGTACAAGCTGAAAAATATTTACACTTACTTTACTTTCTTATTAAAATATCATTTATCCCATAAAGAAAGATTTCCTTCCCATGCTTCCATTTCCTTGTCTAGAAAATCAATGAGGGGCCAGCAAATGGCACAGGGTCACATCATTAAACTCCCACATGGACGACTGTGGTTCGAATCCAGGACCTGGTAGCTTAAAACTCATACTGGGCCAGTGTTCATGCGTGAGTGCCCCAGATCCCAGGAGGTGAATGAAGGAGAACGGATTATGGTGTGGTCATCCCACTAGGGAATGATTTCTCACTTTATGTCTCTCTGTCTCTCCAGCAAATGCATGCACCCTATGGCAAAAAAAGAAAAAAAAAAGAATTAAATGATATCCATGCCCTAATCATAGTGATATTGTGAAGGTTCAAAGACATAACAAGGCACTTAAGATACTTAGCATGGAGCTCTCAGCAAGTGGCATTCTTCCTCCTTTTCCTTCTTATTTATCTTCCTCGGTATATGACATATATCCTTTGCTACACTTGAGGACTTTGAAAAGTTCATGGGAAAGTGGAATTAAGGTACAAGTTATTTCAGTGCAAAAAAGTTTGAAATCCATGCATAGTTTTTTCATGATACACATTTTCCATGAACCTTCTTTTTTTTACATTTGAGAAAGCACACATGCACTCACCAGAGAAAGAGAGAAAGAAGAAGAAAGCACCCCAATGAGGCATGGTCATGCCACACTCTCTTCTCCAGCTCTTCACTCTGTTAGGACTTGGGGCATGCACATACAAACACCTGGCATTCTTCTCAGACCATGCAGGGTTTGGGGTCCGGCTCCCTTAACCACCAAGGCCACTGGTTGACCACTTCAGGGAGCTTTTGAAGACCCTCTCATATTGACAATTCCTTGAGGGCTCAGGCTATCTGAAAGTAAAAATGTACATTATGTCATACACATTGCAACCTTAATAAATGCATCGTTTATCACTATTGTTGTCTTGATGGTCATTTTTTATATAAAGGGACACAGTGTTGTTTTCACAACACTAATATGGTCCTTGACATGTTCTTATTTACACCTTTATCATGAGAATCTACTCTGAGAAAGTATGGCCCAATGAGTGTCCTTTACTTTTACCAACCCACACTAGCTCCTCCTTACAGAAGATAAATGGCTATGGCCACCAATTTTGGGGGGGTGGAGACAAATTCCTCCCTAGCAAAATAAATTCCAGATAATTTTAAGAAATAACAATGAAAGTTTCAGAAAAAAATTGATAACTCACAACATTTTGTGGAGGGGAAAGACTCTCTAAGCATGGAACCATAAAACGACATGGAAAAGATCAATGAAAACTAAAGCAGAAAATCAAACTTTAAAAAGGTTGATTTGGGACCAGCAGATGGAATGGTTATGTCACTGAACTCCCACGTAGTCGACTACGGTTCGAGTCCCAGACCCAGGAGCTTAAAACTCACACCAGGTGCATGTGCACATATGGAAAAGGGATTGCAGTGTGGCCATCCCCTTAGAGGGGGACATGACTTCTCGCTTTCTGCCTCTCTGTCTGTCTAGCAAGTGTATGCACCCTATAGCAAAAATATCTCTCTCTAAAAAAAGGTTGACTTTGGGGACCAGCAGGTGGCATGGTGGTTAAGGTGCTGGACACTCCCACATGGCCGACCAGGGTTCAAGTCCTGAATCTGGTGGCTTGCTTTCTCACTTCCTCTCTCTCTCATTCTCACCCTCTGTCTCCCTCTGCTCAAACTAAAATAAATAAATAAATAAAATAAAATAATTATTTAAATAAAAAAATATAATTTAAAAAAAGAAGGTTGACTTTTTTTTTTTCCTTAAGAAGTGTGCATGGGCATGTGGGTTCACTGGAAACAGACCATTAAAAGCACTGGAGCCTCGTGCCACTGGCTTTTCCAAGGCAGGGGATCAAACGAGAGCAAGTGACATCATCTTGGCCTCAGCTGCTGATGCTTGTCAGATTTGACAGACTGAGGTTAAGCGCTAGAGTGACAAGGAGACCAATCAGTATTCAGCTTTTAGACTCAGAGGACAGCACAGTTTTTAGCATAATCACATTAACATGCTATTTGCATGTCTCATCTCTACTAGATTATGGATTATTCCTTGTGTGAAAACGAAAAGCCCTATACAGAAGAATACAAAAGTGTGTCTTCACTGGTGTTCTGCCACAGGTATCGGAGTTCAATGCTTTTCAGCAGGTAATTGACATCTAATGCCATTACTTTCCAATAAGGACTTTTCAAAAATTGGCACTGGGCTAGTCCATGGCCTGGTGGTTACATGAACTGGATCCTATTTAGATGACTGTGTGGTTCGAGTCCTGAACCTGGTAGCTTGAAAACTATGCTGTG